TTCTTTCTTTCTTTCTTTCTTTTTATCAAAAAATAAAGAATATATGTATGTATTTATATAAAAAAACACTTGCTACATCATAAAAAATGGTCTTCATTTTTTGAATTAAATATTTTAAATGCAAAACTTTGAAGAATTTTTTTTTAAGTTTTAATTTATTTAGGACGGCTTAATTTAAAAACCTTAATTTTTTTTAGAAAGAAAGAAAGAAAGAAAAATAAAATAAAATAATTTTTTGAAATATAAAAAAACTTTTTAAAAATTAATTCTTAAATTTAATTGGAGATTATTTAATGCCACTGCCCGACCAAATCAAAATCTTATTTTTTTTTCTTCCTTTTCCAGGATTTAAATCATTTTTTTTGAAGATTTCTAACAAAAAATAACTATTCCTCTTGACAATTTCTATTTTCTGACACAAAAAATAATATATATCATTTCTGTATTTATATTTTTATATAGGTTTAAGGACAGATCTCATGACATATATATATATATATATATATATGTATTATAAAAAGAAATTTTGTAACCTCCAAAAATTAATCTTTAATAAAAAAAGCTAATATTTTTTTTGATTATATTGCGTGTTATTTTTTTTTTTTTTTTAATTTTTTTTTAAAATAACTCTCAGCCGGCAAAGGAAGATGGCACATAAGATTCAATCTTTTCTTGCTCTTGACACATCTTTCATATGACTTAAAAGAAAAATCATTCCCTTATATCCCCATATTGTATAAAACATCGAATTTTCAATCCAAGAGGAAAATAAATTTTTTTTAAATTTTTTTAAAACGAAATTTATGGTCGTATTATTCGTAAAAGGCGATAGTTTTTGGTTATTACTAGTCGTATGGCTCTTATTCGAGATCCATGCAGAGATTCTATCCATAGAAGATTCAAATTCCTTAGAGACCGCCCTATCTTCCAACAAGAATTTCGTTCTATTGTCTTACGCCGTAAAGTCAGTATATATATTATCTTTAAAATACTTAAAATTAATATAATCTATAAGTTGCCGTTTTAGCCGAAAATTCTTGCCCGTATTTCGTGACGTGTGCGACATCGCTGGATTAGAATGCGGAAAAGTATATTATTTAAATCGAAGGTAATACGAATACAGTATATGAGAAGTTGGCTACTAAGGGCAGGGGTATAATGGACCATTCATATGTCACTTAAGAACTTTCCCAGTCATACATCAAGTAAGGTTTCTTATTATTTTGATATGATTTATAAACAATTTTCCATTATTATATAAAAGTATCTTTAGGGTGGGTATTACACTCCACGAGGTGTAAATATCTCGTGTCATAGGATTAAACTCTTTCTAAAAGATATGATTTATTATTATATCTGAAATAAATTTTTATTTTAAAAAATAAATTAAATCAATTATCTTTTTAGAATTAATTAAATAAATTATTTTTTAAAATTAATTAAATAAATTATTATAGAATAAAATTAAATAAATTATTTTTTTAGAAATAAATTAAATAAATTACTTTCATATATCATATGATTTTTTATGTACATTGTCAAAAAGCCAGAAAAAAAATTGAGCTACACATATAGTGTAACCGCAATGATAGGGCGATGTTTAGCATCGTATAATTTAATAAGCAACATTCGCGCCATTTTCCGCTTTTTGAACTATTTAAATGAAGACATTTAATTCCTCATTTCCGGGGTTTTCCCGCTTTCGAGTTTTTAAAAATAAATGACCAATTGGAGAGATGCATTTTAATACCAGTTATCTATTTTACAAAAAAATTTTGACGAAATGATATAAAAAAAGAGAATTATAAACTTTATTCAGGCAGATTTTTCCAGGTTCTCATCCATAGCTGGGAAGACTTTTCCAATCTTCCCGCCAAAATAAAAAAATCCTAAACCCCCGCCGAATACATTTTTTTTTTGAATGCACTCTTTTTACCCTTATTAAAGTTAGATCCCAAATTTTTTCAGCTTCCAAATACCCCTTAAAATATTTTCAACTCCTTAGTGGCACATGTAGTAACACCCCACCCTTCCCTCATCAATTCAAACTTTTCGACCTGAGAACCCTGATATACAGGCGGGAAAAAATTCTAACAGATGATACGAAAGATAATGTCGTTTGGGGGATTCTGGAATCTCTGATTTGTAACCTTTTACCGATGGCGTAAAATTTTATTTAATTCCCATTTAACCGGAAAATGTATTCTAGCATGTGTAGAGTATTTACCCCTATAAATTTCAGCCATTTTAAGCCACAGACATTTTAGTAATTTTTTTTTCTAATTTATATGAAAAAATCCATATAAAAATTTAATATAAATTATAAGTAGTTTCGGAAGTTCGTTTGCTAAAATTGGCTGAAATTTATAGGGCGAATACTCTAACACATGCTAGAATACATTGATTTCCGGTTAAATATGATTCAAACGTTTTTTTAAATCGCCCTCCGCGAAGGATTTAAAATCAAGGGATTCCGAATCCCCGTTACGACACATATATAGCTATGGATTTTGTTCGTTTTTTTAAAATGCGGTTTATCATAAAATATTTAATAGCAACTTACTAATAAATTATCCTCATGTAACAAAAGAATAATCGTTTAGCAGTCACACGGGTGTCGTTCAGAGGTTTTTCGAGAAAACGCCGACAAGATAATTAGTCCCCAGTTCGGGGAAGCCTTTTTTTTTCTTCTTCTGGAATTAGCTTCTTCGAATAGGTTGGTTACGGTGATTAGAAAATTTGAGGCTATGTTTGGTTAATAGCTAACTTGTTGACAGACTGTCATATATCATTACCTCATGCCCCCCCCCCTCTCCCTTATTTTATCTTACGCCAGAAGTTAATTTTCCTTTCAGCACAAGTTTATTGCATTTATGAATAACGAAGGTTAAGAAGTAAAGTCAACTTCGAATAGTAGGGTAAATATAAATTTGGGAGGGGGGGGGGAGGCAATCTTTTGTCCCGTGCTTAATGAATGAATGCGAATATTTATTTTATCCTAAATTTTGTTTCTCTGTGTTACAGCTGATTTGCTCGAATAATCGCGAGTTGTGCGTAAAGGGCAACGTAAGAGGAGTCCCGAACGTCAAGGTATATACAGAAGGAAAGGTCATTTATCGAAACGAGGGATTCATGACACTAGGTTTAATATAGATTGTGTTAGATATAAATGATTTTTTTCTAAACATATTTAGACGAATTCCTGGATGAGATAGACAACTTGAACTTGAAATGATTTGTAACTTCGAATTTTGATTCCTTTCTCCTTCAATTTTTTTTTGTAAAAGAAAATTGATATGATAGTTTGATTTGTATATTTTATATAATATGCAATAATATATATATATATATTTATTTTTATTTATTTTATAATATTGGATCAGCTGTTTTTTATGTAAAATTGTTCAAAATAAAATAAAGAATATAATTAATCTATGGAAGGATCTTTTGTAAATTTTTTTCTTTACGGAAATTAAAAAACCCCTGACGACGTATTCATTTGAAAAGCGTTCGTTGAAATGCAAATCAGCTGGACGCGCCATTTTGTCAACACCATATGGTAATTACGCACATGTTAAAAATTGATATTAAATTGTTAACTTTGCTTTCCTTACTATCTCGATGATCAGGCAATTCTTTGATGGGGGAATGAATTAGCCTCTCGTTTAAAATTAATTTCTCATAATGACACGGGTTATCAAAATGGCGTCCCCAGCTGTTTTTAATTGATGTATATACACTTTTTACCCGAATGCCATCGTCAAGTTCTAGGTATTATCATATGTCATAGATACTTAATATCTTTGTCAATTCTAAATTTATTCTTAGATATAAAAATTAGATTAAAATTTAACAATTATTTTGTAAATTGTAAATTTAATAATCACCATTTATTATCATGGTGGCAGCGGATATAAGGCCATTTTCTTTATCCATTTAAATGAATGGAATTTGATTATTTTTAGTTTATTATCTAGAAGGAAGAGGAAGGATATAGTTGCGTAGATCCCAATCATATGTTTTTAATTTGATTTGATTGGCGGATAATTTTATATTTAAAAATAAAAATAATTAATTTAAGATTTAAAAAAAATTTAAACAAAAAAAATGTATTCATTTTTTTTTTTTATGTAATATTTTTATATTCGCTAGATGGTGTTTATTATAACTTTCCAATTTTCTTCCTTTCTTTCCTTTTTTTTTTTTTGGTAAATGTAGTTAAATTTATTTTATTTACGGAATTAATTTTAGAAGTTTGAAAAGTTTACAAAGTTTAGTAAGTTTAAAAAGTTTTGAAAAGTTAAATGAAAGAAATACCCGAACAGGATAACATCATATTTATAATTGCCCCCTACTCAAGGAAATTATAATCATGTGACATGTCAGATTTGATTTGAGTTTATTAATGAATAAAAAAAGGTATCAAATTTTATTAATCGCCATTTTTAATGAAACCCTGAAACCTAACAGCTGATAAATCTCTCAAAATCTTTAATTAGCCCTTATAGCGGTTCACTTTGAAAAAAAAGAAGATAGTTACGATGAAAAGGATAATATGGCTTCCAACTCGAGGAAATTATTTTTAATCACGTGACATGTCAGATTTGATTTGACAAATTTATTAATGTATAAAAAAAAGGAATCAAATTTTTATAAAATCGCCATTTTTAATGAAACCCTAAACCTAACAGCTGATAAATCTCTCAAAACCTTTCATACTCGTTATTTCCAAATTTCAAATTTATTTATTAATTTTGCGTCCTAAATCAGTTTTAAGAAAAAATATCTAAAGTTTCAAAAACTTTAAGAAGAAGAAAAAACACTAATTACTAAAATTACTAAAATTTCGTGGAATACCTTTTTGTTGGGGAAAAGGCGTGACACCTGTCATATATTACAATTTATTATAATTTTTTTTTTTGATTGTATATTTCAGTTTATATATGTTAATTAATTAATCTATAAATTACATCAATTAATTAACGTATACAATTAACCAGGGATGTAAAACCGAACCGTTCAAGAAAATTTTAAATTTCATTTAATGGGAATTTTGATAACAGGAGACATAATCGAAAACGATTTTCTAAGAGGGGTTCGAACCTGCCCCAGGTCCATTTTATACCGGGTTTAATGAGTTGCCCTTAAATTGGTCTCTGTTTGTTCTAAGGTTATGCCCAACCAAACAGTTTTAAATTTCTCGGGTTCGGGTTCACATCCCCGCAATTAACAATATATTCGAATTCAATTAATCCTGTTATTAAGTGCCTTTGAGGGTAAATAATTCTATTGGATCATCATGGAGAAATGGATAGATTTTTTTTTGTGTCTACTTCTTGATATCTATCCCCACACTTTTCTAAATTGGAGAATCTAACGATAGATTCAAGAGAACAAGAAAAATAACCTAAACGTTACTGTTGTTGAATCGCCTAACCTTGACCATCTCTGTTGTGCTTTTAGCCTAAAAATTTGAATTAAGCCTCTAATTTGCAGAGCTGTTAAAAGACACTTTTTAAATGGATCTAGATACAGATACATCGTTTAAAATAATATCTAGATACAGATATTTTAATCAAAAATGTATCTAGATACAGATATACCACATTTTGTATCTAGATCCTTTAACAACTCTGTTAATTTGAATCTAAACTTCAAGTTTCGAATATTTTTTCTAAATAAAAGCATGGCTACGTTGTTCTATAGTTGACTAAAGTTAGGTAGTTTAACAACACTACTAAACGTAATGTCTTCCAAAAGTTCTAACATTTAAGATAAAAATTAATTAAAACGGGAAGTGATTTTTTACTGTTCTCACTAATTCCTTTTTTTTTAAAAAAAGAAGTTCTTAGAAACCCTGAAGTTAATAATAATTCATAATTTTATTTATTTTATTCATTTATATGAATCTTAGTATTCTAAAAGGATGATATTGGATGACGAAATATATTTGGAAAGTTAGACATATTAAACCGGATTATTTATGTTAGAAATCTCCGTAAATTTCTTCGTAATTTGATTCGTCAGCTATATTTAAGTCACGTGTTCTATTTAACAATGGAGATCTTTTTTTTTTCTTAAACCTTTTTTTAAAAAAACCTAAATAAGCTGGACAAAAGATATTATTTCCAAAAAAAAAACTCGCGATTTTTAAAAAAACAAGGGAACACGTGATTAAAGTTTTATAGTGTTAAGGTATATAAGACTGACGGTGCATTCGTTAAAAGTGCACATCAATAAAAAAACAGCTGTGGACGCCATTTTGATTCCCATATTCATTATTAAAAGGAGGCAAATTTATTCCTGAGTTCTGACGCAAACTTTATTAAGGGAATTGCCTGATCATGGAGATAATGAGGAAGGCAAAGTTATCAATTTAATAGTCGTTTTTTTAACACGAGAATAATTTACTCTACGGGTTACCAAAATGGCGGATCCAGCTGATTTGCCATTCAACGACGCTTTCGAATGCATCATTGAGGAATGGATCGTCAGTCTGGGTATTATTATATGTCATTGATTAAATATAGAGAGTATTTGATAAAGAAAGAAAGAAAGAAAGAAAGAAAGAAAGAAAGAAAGAAAGAAAGAAAGAAAGAAAGAAAGAAAGAAAGAAAGAAAGAAAGGAAGAAAGGAAGAATGAATAATCTTTAATTGGAATCATGGTCCGACTTAAGGTGACAAATATGCCCGGACATTTATTTTATTTTATATAATATACAAAAAAAAAAGAATTAATTCAATACACTTTCAATTTTACAAGTTAGTTAATATCTCCGTATTTATTCAACAATCACATTATCCCAGGTTAAATAGAATGTAATATAATATATTTCGAATTGAGATATATCATTAATAATCAATATTCATTCAAATATATATATTTTTTATAATGTTTAACCAAATTTAATATGAAATAAAATAGGGAATGCTAATTAACAAGCTAAACTCTAACGAACTTGCGTCTCACGACTCCTGGATCTCTAGATCGCGCGCCATCAAAAAGGGTAGAAGTGCAGGATTGATCGGCGGAGGCCTGTTAATCCCCCCATATTCCGCTCATTCCTTGTGCGACAACGTGTATCCCATCATCCTTTTCTCCGTGGCCCTAGCGATTTTGCTCTACTTGGCGGTTATATTCGTCAAGCTTTGCTATTACATACGGGTAGCTTCCAGGAAGGGTGTCGCAGTACCTAACCTTTTGAACCCGTCTAGAAAGGGAGCAAAGCACGCTCATCACCATAGAAGCAAAGGATCGAAGCCCGATCATGAAATGATAGAGTACCAAGTTACGGATAATGTAGTGGTGCTCGGTGGCGACCGACAAATCATAAAGACACTCAGTAATCAAGAGGAAATATCCATGAAAGGCGGGAAACAGGGCTTAAGCGCGGGTAGTTCTAGCAATATGATAAATAGAAAAGCTGTCGCGGAAGGAAATAGAGTGGCCGAAATAGACACGTCCCCGTACAGAGCCGAAGGGATGGACGTTATCAGTTTACCTTAAAAACCTTGGATATGAATAATAATTGATTTTTTTTTTTTTTTGAAAAGAAATAATAAATAAAAACGAGTCTTTAAAGAATACACATGTGGGTAAATAGAAAAGAATCTTTAAAAATAATCTTTAGAATTTTCAAACATTTATTACTGTTTTTCTATTGGTTCCCCTAAAAATCAGTTTTGACACTTACATACACTTCAGAGCAGGAGATATATAAAAAATTTTAAAAATAATCTTTAGAATATTCAAACATTTATTACTGTTTTTCTATTGGTTCCCCAAAAATCAGTTTTAACACTTACATATACTTCATAGCAGGGGATATATAAAAAATTTTAATAATCTTTAGAATATTCAAACATTTATTACTGTTTTTCTATTGGTTCCCCTAAAAATCAGTTTTGACACTTAACACACACTTCAGAGAAGGGGATACATAAAAAATTTTAAAAATAATCTTTAGAATTTTCAAACATTTATTACTGTTTTTCTATTGGTTCCCCCAAAATCAGTTTTGACACTTACATACACTTCAGAGCAGGGGATATATAAAAAATTTTAAAAATAATCTTTAGAATATTCAAACATTTATTACTGTTTTTCTATTGGTTCCCCAAAAATCAGTTTTAACACTTACATATACTTCATAGCAGGGGATATATAAAAAATTTTAATAATCTTTAGAATATTCAAACATTTATTACTGTTTTTCTATTGTCTTCCCTAAAAATCAGTTTTGACACTTAATACACACTTCAGAGAAGGGGATACATAAAAAATTTTAAAAATAATCTTTAGAATTTTCAAACATTTATTACTGTTTTTCTATTGGTTCCCCCAAAATCAGTTTTGACACTTACATACACTTCAGAGCAGGGGATACATATAAAAAATTTAAAAATAATCTTTTAGAATATTCAAACATTTATTACTATTTTTCTATTGGTGCCCCAAAAATCAGTTTTGACACTTACATACACTTCAGAGCAGGGGATACATAAAAAATTTTAAAAATTATTTAACCCAATTTGCAGAGGAGGGTTAGGGCTATAGGAGAATAGGGCTGTTTTGGTAGGAGATGAAGGGAAAGAGACGGTTCTCGGTCGGAAGATTTTAATTTTATAAGTTTTTCGGACCGATTGATAACGTAGTGTTTTTTAAAAATAATAATTTTAATATTTTTAAATCTTATTTACAAAAAAATTGTCGATTTGGGAATGACCACTAGTAGACAAATACGATAGCGATTTGAAGCGGGCCACAGGAAACCAGAATTCGATCCCCCGCGAGAATCAGACATTTTTCCTATAAACCAATCTCTCGATGAAGTTAATGATTAAGGCTAAAATGGGTGAGACTAGATATTGGGGATTAGTGATGTGCATCGGGACCTAATTTTTTCAAACCCGGCCCGGCTCAAAATTTATTTCTAAAAACCGGCCCGAACCCCGAATATTTTTCTAAAAAAGTTTTGCCGGCTCGAACCCGAACCCGCAATATTTTTTTTAAAGAATATTTAACTGCCCGCCTGGCCCGAATTTATTTAAATATAGAAAAATTAATTTTTTAGAGTTGTTAAAGGATCTAGATACTTAGATATAAAAATGTGGTATCTGTATCTAGATAGATTTTTGATTAAAATATCTTTACCTAGATATTATTTTAGACGATGTATCTGTATCTAGATCCATTTAACAAGTATATTTTAACAACTCTGATTTTTTATAATTAACTCATGTTATATGGGGTCTAGTTTCTATAAATAGAATCAAATATTTTTTACTTCAGCATAAAAAAAAATTTCTAAGACCTGACCCGAAGCCCGTTCGGGCCGAGCCGGGTTCGGACCGGGTTCGGGTTGGGCCTCCTTTTTTCGATCTCAAATTGGGATAGGGGTAATTCAAATAAATTTGGTCGTTGTTCGTCCAAAATTGATGTAAGGTGACACAATCCGCCCCTTATCAATTAGCCAATAAATAAGAAAGAAAGAAAGAAAGAAAGAAAGAAAGAGAAAGAAAGAAAGAAAGAAAGAAAGAAATAAAGAAAGAAAACAAATTAAATCTGTATATAAACAATAAACCAAATTTTAAACTCAACTTTTGAAAAAACAAGGATGTTATTCTCTTTCTAAGTCGATCATATGGTTCAGATATTTCAAGATATTAATCATAAGTTTTATTTCATACATAAGCGATTTACGAAAAAAAAACAAATTATATTTAAATTTATAATGAAGGAAGTTTTTTATATCATTTTTTTTTGCATAATAATTTTTGCGTGTTTTTTTTTAGATGAAATAAAAAAAACGTGATAATTTTATTGTACGGTAAATATTTATAAAAGCCATAATTGATTTTTGCTCTCGAAGAAAGAAAGAAAGAAAGAAAGAAAGAAAGAAAGAAAGAAAGAAAGAAAGAAAGAAAGAAAGAAAGAAAGAAAGAAAGAAAGAAAGAAAGAAAGAAAGAAAGAAAGAAAGAACTTAAACTCTAAGGAAAAAATAATATATAAACTTCGTCACTGTTGGGGGCCATTCATTGTTATACGCGCTTGAGCAGCACGGGACGCGAAGGGGACTCTCGTGGCTTCTTTATTTTGTAGGCGCAGGTTGCCTTAAGATATTAAGTGAGGGTGGCTCCAGAGATGGGTATGGATATCGTCGAAAGACAAATACAGCTATTTATAAATATTCACTAAATTAGATGTTATATAAGGATCACGTAATACTGAGACTCTAAGTAAACTTGAATCTTTAGAAGCATTTTTTTTTATTAGTTTTTTTCGAAAGACCACTTCCGGAATTCTAGCATGGCGTTTATGTTCATTATACCACACGTAGATTTTGGACATTGTCATTAAAATTTAAAAATTTGATTATTGAATGCGGAAGTCTAGAGAACTGCAAGTTTTTACCGTATTATAGTTGGCTAAAGTCTTAGAGGATAAAAAGAGGAAGAAATAAGTAAAAGATGATAATTAGGCATAATGTAATAGTTATTAAAAATGTTTTAATTTAATTTGAAAGGTTCAATATTTGTGGTATAATACACCACACCAACCCCGTCTCTATTATTACAATAACATTTTTTACACCCTAAATATGAATGAGTTTATCATGTTTTTATTTTACAAATTGATTTTTAGGTTATCTGTATTCCGCGCTATTGAGTAGAGATTTCCTAGAATTACAAAGCATGTATGTTCCGATGATTCGATTTCTTGGGGTAGTTTAGATATGAATCCGAATTAAAACCCATTTTTTTTTTTTTTTTTTTTTTTTTTTGTAGCTTATTTAGTTCTCAAAGAAACAAATATTTAATATATATACTAAAAAAAAATCTCTCCCACAACCCTAACTTCAGCCTCACATTGGCGGAGGAACGTCTAGAAGGTTCCCTATGATCGGGGTCTAGAATAGGATCACCGTCTCCTCAACGACTGGGTGTAAAAACTATGAAGGGGTTGATGCCATTAAAAACCTTTGCTACAAAATTTTCTAAGAGGATAATATAAATAAAATACATAATACCCTTCCTTGTTTAATACATGGTTTAAATGTAAAATCATTTTAAAAAGAAATTTCTTCCTATTTCTTCCTTACTAAGATTTATTTATAAGTTAAATAATATTTTCTTTTAGTTCCTTATTTCAAACTTAGTTAATTTGTTTTTCTAATTACTTATTTTATTTATTTTTTTTTATAAAATATCCTTTTATATATAAATCTAAATTTTATAAAAAAAAAATCATTTATAATATTAAAATATATTTTATTTTAATTTTTAAATTTAATTTATAAAAATATATTTAATTTTGTATATTACCTTTTAATCATAAATTAAAAAAAAATAAATTATAAACATGGTTATGTTGGCGAAAACTATTGGTTGGTTGTTAATCGCGCGTCTAATGATAATGGGGATGCGTTTGTCCGTCGCGAGCGCTGATATAGTAGATATCGTAGACGATCTAATGCTAGACAGTGCCTTATCAAGAAACAAACATTTTGTTTTATTGTCTTACGTTACACAGTCAGTTAAATTTTTATAAAAAAAAACAAATTTTTATTTAAAAAAAAACAAATATAAAAAACTGTTTTATATATATATGCAATGATATCAGATGCCCTTATAGCCGAATGTTTATGCCCATATTCGAGAATGTTTGCAAAATGGCTGGATTGGAATGCGGAAAGGTAATATTGACACGTATTATTTAAATGAATCAATGGCTATTTGATAGTAAAAAGTTAAAGAATATATTTGGGAATGGCTAGAAAAGAGCTTAATTGAGCTTAATTTTACAGGAGTGGGCTCTAAGAAAATTTGCTAGGCATTAGCTAAGATGACTGTGCTTTTTGTCTAGAATAATGGTTTTTAGGGAAAAGTGATATTTAATTTTATTTTTTGTTAACGAATCAAAGGCTATTTGATAGTAAAAAGTTAAAGAATATATTTGGGAATGGCTAGAAAAGAGCTTAATTGAGCTTAATTTTACAGCATTGAGAAGGCTAACCTAAGATGATAGTTTATTTGTCTAGAAAAATTAGTTTTAGGGAAGAAGTAATATTGACGCTTTATCTTTATTTTTTGTTAATGAAATCAGGGGCCACTAGACAGTAAAGTTAAAGAATATAGTAGGAACGGTTAGGAAGAAGCGCAATTGAGCTTGATTTTACAGGCGTGGGCTCTAAGAAAATCTGCTAAGCATTGAGAAGGCTAAAGATGACAGTTTTCTTTGTCTAGAAAAAATAGTTTCAAGCCATTTTTTTTTCTGTAGCCAGAGAATAAGGCAATCATTGGTAAGAATCTTAGGAAGTAAAACTGACATGGAAAAAATTTTTATAAATTTTTAGAAAAATATTTATTTATTTTTTAATTTCTAAATTAAAATTTTAAAATATTTACATCTTAGTTGAATTGCCAAGAGCAGAGAATTTTATGCCATGATACCAAAGTAGAGGGAGTTCCGGATGTCAAAGTATACACCAATAAAGAAATAGTTTATCATAGGGCAGGATTCATGTCTCAAGGTATGTCGATCATGTTAGACGCAAAAAATCATAATTAATTTTTTTTATTATTATTATAGATGACTTCCTGGCCGAAATAAGAAAATTGAATTTAAATCGATTTCGTCTTATTACTTCGAGATAGTTCTACAGAAACGTTTAACTTCACTAGAAAAACCATCACTGATATAATTAAAAAATTGATTATATTTTATTAAATTATATTTATTCTATCAACGCTTGGGGGGAAAAAAAAATATATATATAAAGGAATAAAAGGACTATTTTATCTAAAAAAGATGTTTTTTTTAAATTACTTTTTTTGTTACATGTTTATATTAATATGTATAATTTACTCCGTAGATACTCAAAATCTCTGCGTTGTTTTCTGTTAAATCAGGCGGACAAAGTAAAATTATTCACTCTAAGGAAATTTTTTAAGTTGAGTCCAAGGAAAATAATGAACCATTCCCAGATGATCAAAAATCTCTTTTTTTTAAAAAATAATCAGTTTGTGGAGCCGTGTGTTCTTAATTGACATACAGTGTTCCTTTAGCTTAAATAATTGTTATCCCATATTATTGGGGAAAAGAAATCAAAGTTAATATTTTCTTACTTTTTTATACCAAATTAATTAAAAAAAAAATGCCAGAAATAACTTATGGAAATTTTGGGGAAACCTATCCAAGTGGATATGAATATGTAAATATTAAATCGTTAACATTAATATGTAGTGTGGTTCTCTATATAATCTACTTATAAATATGCTTTAACATATTTTGCCCACCCAATTTATTGAGTCTTTATAGTTAATTATAAAATAACGTTGTTAAATACAGGTATATTATATTATATCCATCTATTCTTTAGTTATGCTTTGTTTTATATCTATTATATAAATAAAGTAAATAATAATCTAATAAAACTTTGTAGCATTTTTTCCTTAAATGAGGTATTGGCTAGGGCCTACAAGGAGTGAAGATTAATCTAGAGATAAGTATGATAACCCGCGCTGCTTTTCTTGCTAAAATAAAACAGATAACTTATCACTGACAGCCATAAAAATCTGGTTCTATTTTACCTAACTGCACGGTTTCGGACAAGGGCTAATTATAGACAAGAGTTTGTCTAAATTTATATAACTTATCTACTAATGTCTCATATGACAAAACTACTCGGGTCCAGGCTTAGGTCTGATTTAGACTATAGTGGTCTAAGAACATAGGGTTCCATTTTACTAATTATATCACTTTGGACTAGGATGTGGCTAACTCTCTAATTGTAGAATGGTAGGTTAAAAGATTAAAGAGAGATATGGATAAGGGCTAGTTTACACTATTCAAGACACTAACTATATTTGATCAAATATCGAGCCCATATTCGGCAAAATTAAAAAGAGATCATATGGCTACGAAGCGCAATAAAACTTAGGGCTGTGGTGCAACACACCTGACTCGAGTTTGACCTTCCTCGTGGACAGGGTTGCCAGGTCAAAATTTTCAAATGGCGGGATAAGTATAAAAATCTGCTAAAAATATATTTTTTTGGGATTTTGAATCGAATTAATTATCCGCCTATTATTTTTTTATTTAGTTTATTATAAATACAAAAGTCGGTAACTATTTTTCTAAATAAAATAACATCTTCATTTAATTAAAATATATTAATTTATAAAAAAAAATTCAACGATCTTTTTTTTTAAATATAAAAGAATGTAAACAAAGATAAAATTTTATTTTTAAAAAAAACGATTTTAATTTTACAATTAAAAATATATTTTATGCGAATGTCCCTAAAAACGACCGCACCGTGTGTGTGTGTGTATAAAATTATAGGTATAGGCGCTTAATTGTCACAAACACAAGCCGTATACATAATAAGGTAATCCAGAAATAAGAAATAATACAGATGAAACTACAGTTGCCGCAATTGTAATCACTTATCTTGTAGTACAAAAATTCACAGAGATACTTATCACAACAATGTTGGTAGAATATTTCTCCTTTTTTTTTTTTTGACTCTAATACAAATGAAAACTATACTTGTAGAACAATTATGAGCAAGGCTATCATCAATGTTTTAGGACCTAAATCCAGTGAGGTCAATTGACGATTTGAAAAATGGGCATACATATGCAATTCTAACAGATGTATCTAATAAGGAAAATATTAAATATTTCCCTTGATCCTCCGCTATTTCATCAAAATTAAGGTCGTTTCAATAAAACTATTAAATTTTTTTTCCTCAAATAATGAAAATCCAAAGACATAGCTAACCATATAGTGGTAAATGTTAGCAGATTCGAGATTATCAATAAATTGCATGTCAGCTTTCTGATCTAATAATGCCTCAGTGAATTTTGGTAAAAACAGAGTGTATTTACAGAATTGAGTCAGCACAATGTTGGTTGCAATATGTTCCTAATACCCGCCATCGGAATTTTAGAATTTTATAAACCTTTAAAAAAATATTTTTTAAATAAAGATTATAAAAGCTGTCCCAATATTTTGAAAATTTTTTTCAATAATGAATGGCAGAGGTATATTTAGGGAATGATTTCATACGTAGGAAATCTACTACATGCTGTTAATGTGTAGTTGCAATCAGAAGAATCTTAACAAAGATTCACAAAATTATGCTGCAGATGTGTTCATCTTACAGTTAAAAATTACAATAAATTTTATGGCGCAATTGCTAAAACTTAATTATATTTTATTTGAGATTTAAATAATAGAAATGTTTACCGTCGTTATTGAGATATTTAATTCCTGGCATGACATATTATATATTTGTGTAACCATTAGCTCGACCTCTAATGTTGTTAAAGCAATCCGATTTCTCTTCTTATTCTCGGCAGTCCTCATCAGGCTAAAAATGCACTCGGATGAGGCATTAGAATGAGGTAAGAAGAAGACATACTCGCATATTTTTTCTAAGCATGGGGATTTATCGTTATTACGAAAAAATTATACCCATTTCTCTCTGCTTTTAGACCATATAACTTTAAGTATTTTGGCGAATCATAAAAAATAGAGATAATTACAATCTCTCAAACAAGACATCAATGTTTTCGGTATTTTTAATATATTTATTAAATTATGAAAACCATGAATTGATGGTTTCTGTTCCAAGGTCATAATATTTATACATTTGTGAATAGATTTATTAAAATCAAATTTTGATAGTAAATATTCTAAAATTGTCTTAATAAAACTATCTACTTTATTTAAAAATGTATTAATTAGAGTATTATTTGAACATTTTAATATAATATTTTTAGCAATAGCGCCATAAAATTTATTATCAATTTTTAACTGTAGAGATGAACAGAGCTGTAGCATGATTTTGTAAATCTTTTTATAAAGTGCAACTGAATATTAACTGCATGAAGTAGATTTCCTACATTGGAAACGAATCCCAAATATGCTTCTGCTGGCTTCATACTAGAAAATTTTTTTTTTTAAAAATTTAGCACAGTTTTTTTAAAATCTTTATTTAAGAAGTATTTTTTAAGGGTTTGTAAAATTTTAAAAATTTACTGATGGCAGGTATTAATGACAACCACATAATAGGTATGCAACAACTCACACCATTCCAAGTCAGACCACATCAATTAAACTCTTTTAATTCATTAAATCTTTTAGTTGAAAACTAAATTCGTTAAAACATTTCATCACAATTATTTCGACATCCGATAGTACATTTATTGTTTTCTTGCAAGAATTATGTAGTATATGGCATATTCAGCCAATTGGTATTTTAACACAGCGTTTCAATTCGGTAACTTTGTTTCTTGCCAAAATTTACAGAGGCATTATCAGCGCAGAAAGCTGACATTCAAATCATTGATAACTTGAATTTTTTTTTTTTTTCCATTATATGGCTAGCTACATCGTTGAATTTTTGACTATGCGAGGAAATTTTTTTAACAGTTTTATTGAAATGTTCTTATTCTTGTTGAAATAAGGAAGGATCGAGGGAAATGTTTTTTTTTTTTTTTTATTAGATGCATCTTTAGAATTGCATATGGATGCCCATCTTTCAAATCTTCTAGAATTGACCTCTAGGATTCAGGAACTAAAACACTTTGTGATAGCCTTGCTCATTTTTGTTCTGCCACAAGTAAGGTTTGCACTTATATTGGATTCATTAAATATCATAAGAAAAAGATTCCACCCACATTGTGATGATATAGCTCTATGAATGTTGAACTACATGGTAGATGTATACGATTTCCGCAAATGTAGTTGCATCTGTATTGTAGTTTAGCGGGAGAGATGTCTGCGTGTAAACTAAAAAATTCTGGGAATCTCCCGCTGATGGGGGGAGACATGGCAACCCTGCTCGTGGACCATATTCCATATTAACACTCCCACTTATTTATTTTTTAGTACGTTAGTGCACTTAAATATTATTTTGGATAATGTTAACGGCGCCACAACATATAGCAATTATCAAAACCAAGATCAAATTTTTTAAATTATCAATAAGAAACATTTTTAATATATATATATATATATACTTATAATGGGAACTTACTATTGTTCCTGTTTTACTATATATCATACCTCGTAGCACACATCTACCTAGTTAGTTTCAGAAGAAGAAAACCCAGTCTTTGCTGGATTTGAATTCAGATATAAACGGTGTGTGTATTACTCAATCATTGACTAGGCCACAGAAACTTATCGAAATACAAAAAAAAATTTTGTATAAATGATGTGTATACATAATACTACAGAGGATTTTAAAAATACGACAGCGTTAATAAGACATAGGTTTATCAAGGGCTTTGCTTGGGGAGATACTGTTAGTTAGATATATTCTTATAAAATTTATTGGAGGTCTATAAGTCCACCTATTGCTGGCTTTTAGCTATATTACATTTGGCAACGAATAATTGTAGTTCTTTACTTTTTTTTTATAAAAAACTTATCTTCTCTTAAAAATTTTGAATTCTAGTCATTATTTTAAGCAATTATTAGCTTTTTTATTTATCTTTCAAAATATAAACTTTCACGTATTTTACAATTTATTGCCTTTTACTTATTTTCCTTCGAATTATGTGTATAGTGATATTTTATATTCATATATAGAGGTAAAAGTTAAAGGGTGGGTGGGTGATGATAGGATAATTTTATTAGATTAAATGATGTTCACGAGAACAGCCAAATATCCGAAGGGGAGTCTCCAAAGCCTCTATATTGTCTACAGTGTTTTTAAAAATCCCGATTCAGGTCTATTTTTAAAAACGGCCCGATTAAATAATCAAAATAATATTGTGTAAGCCTGGTGAATTTCTTCATAGATGGAAGAAAGGTTTGGCTTCTGTTTTCAATTTTGAGGCTTACACATTATTATCTTGGTTAAAATCTTAATCGAGCTGTTTTTAAAAATAGACACAAATCAATCTTTTTAATAACACTACTGTCTAGGCATTGGTAATGAAAAGTTAGAAAAATATGGATTAGGATTAATTACATTAGAATATTTAGAAAAATATAATTGATTAAAAACCAAGTCCGGCAGTGGTCTTGGTTAAAAATAAGCACATTTATAAAGAGGAAACAATTAGAATTAGTTAAAATAAAACTAGATTATTTTTAATAATGTATAAATTTGAGGATAGCTTATAACTATGTACACTATATGAGTTGGCATGTGTTTTAATCCTCTTAGATCATTTGTTAATTTACTAAATTATATTGATTAAAATAAAATATACGTATGTCACTTGATCGTTCATCAGAGTTGTTAAAAGATACTTTTTAAATGGATCTAGATACAGATACAGATACATAGTCTCAAAAGTTAACTAGATACAGATACAGATACAGCGTCTGAAAAAGTTATCAAGATACAGATACAATTTTTAAATGTATCTGTATACAGATACATTTTTTATTATGCTCTTATAGGTTTGCATAAACCTAAATTAATATTATATTGTGAAAATTCAAATGAAGCTAAAAAATTTATTGACGCGATATAACATTTATCAGAATATAACCAAAATAATGATTTTAATATAATATATGAAAATATATGATTAAATAATTATAAATAATTATTAGATTTCAGTAATAAAATATTTTCAAAATTGTGATCATTTAGTAATCCTCGTTTATCTTTAAAGACATTTTTTTAAACACTAAATAGTCTTTCCACAGGGGCGCTATTAGGAATTGTAGTGTTATATTTAATAAATAATAATTTTATATCAGGGTATTCTTTAAAAATGCTAAAATCTCTACATTAATTTTTGGAAAAATTATTTAAAATTTGTTGATTATCAAAATTTAAATCATTATTAGAAATTATATATGCTGTAGGGTACTGAAAAAAATTTGAAATTAAATTTTTTTTTTGGCAGGTTATTTGCTTGCAGTCAGTTGATGACTTTGATAATTCACCAGCTAATCTTTGTATCAATTGTTTTCTTTTATTAAGCTTTTCTTCCAACCATGTCCAATCAAGTTTAAAAAAAGGGTGAAGCATGGTTGCTATAATATTATCATCTTCAAATAAGGTCACAATAAACCCAGAATTATTAAATATTTTTAATTTATTAATTTACCATTTCCATATTTTAATATTAAAATTTAAAGGGTTTACTGATAAACTCGCACATAATATTTAAATTAATGAATATTTATATATATTTTTTATATATAAGTTTTAATATTTTATATATATAATCTTTTATTATAGTATTAATAAATATTAATATATAATATATATATATATATATATTTATTTATATCATAAGCTCATATGAAATAAAATAAATTTTACAGTCAAATATTTTTAATAGGCAAGTATATAAAATGTATCTTAAAAGTATCTAAAAACAGATACAGATACCTCTAAAAAATATCTAGATACAGATACCTTCCAAAAATCTATCTAGATACAGATACAGATACTACATTTTTATATCTAGGTACTTTAACAACTGCTGTTCATATATTGAGAGGTTTAGCAATCTGAATTTTATAACTTTTAAGGCGTGCGGCACGACATGCCTCAATATGAAATTTCCATGATATTAAAATTGATGAATAAAGTATTAACATATTTAATATTTGTAAACTACTTAAGCTCTATTAGGATTTTACTGTAAGTGCTTTAAAACGTGTGGGACAGAATCTATTGAAGCATAAAGGTATTATATCTAATTTAGAAAATTTAGGCTCAAAGCAATTACCGTATATAATGCATTCATTTAATCAAAAATATAAAAAAGGACAGTAAGCTTTAAAAAAATTTGCATATTATAATTTTATTTACTATGTTTAGATATTTTATTTGGGAATTTTATTGTCCTTCAAAAGATATACCTGATTTGGAGGAGGAGCTCTCTCGTGACATAGATATAATTAGATCATCAGTTATTAATATATCGAAACCATTTTATAAAATGAATGAAAATGCTAAAGGAATAGATAATGTGGAACCAGAAGATCAGGATAGTAGATACAATCATTATTCATCCTGGACAGGATTGCAGAAAAGGATGAGACACTTACCAAAACCACCATTTTGCACAATACCTATTGAAAAAACTTTACCCGCACTGAGAGAAGATTTGAAAGCATATCCTAGATGGCAAAAGGCTCTCTTAAAGGGTTTTCATTATCCAGATAAAAAATGACAATATATATTGAAATGCGATTTATAAGACATTGATAATCATGTGTAAATTATAGAACAAAGCTATCCAACAAAAAAATGACAATTTTTATTGAAATAAGATTTATAGGACTTTGATAATCATGCGTACATTATAGAATAAAGCTTTGACTATTAAACCAATTTATTATATTATTATTAGAAAGATTATTTAATTTATTAGAAAATAATACAATTACAAATAATTCCAAAATTATATAGTGTCAAAATAATAATAGAACAATCATATGGTTGGCAATAGAGATTACCAGATCCAAGATTTGGTACTGAACCAGGCTCTCCCCTATATGGATCTGATCAGTCATAAAAATGATTCCAGGATAGAATAAACATTAGAGGATATAATTATATTAACCTTTTACAAAAAAGGCAAATGGCAAATGTAGACTAAAGATTGAATGACATATATATATACCTATACCTTCTAGAATTAAATAATATATTAGATATAAACTTTATTAGAATTAGATATAATCTATTAGAAATAACTATAACAACTTACTTACAATACAAACAAAATTGTTATAAATCCATCATTAAATAAAATTAAAAAAAAACTAAATGAAATGCAGAATTATATTTTGTACTGTGTCCAAAACCATTTAAAAAAAATTTATAAAATTTTATAGAATTATATTTAGGACATTCCATATTAAAATAGCTTATTTATTTATTTGCAAATTTCAGGAGTTTGTGAATTTAATCTTTCTAAAATTTTGGACCTAGCCTTATAAAAAGAAAGATAGAAGAGAGAAAGAGAAAAAAGTATCAAATAAGAAAACATAACTGAGTCCTTAAAAATGGAACAATATTTAAATTTTTTTTATCTGCCATGCTATGAGTAAAATCTATCATCAAGGATTTATACTTATGTTACTACCTTCCCTATAAATGTTATAAGTAAGTAACACCCTAAGTAAAAATAAACAAGTACAATACAATGATTAACTTCATTCTTCAAAATAGCCATATCTACCTATGGACAATTTTTCTCCAACTAATTCATTTTTTTTAAAAGAACTTTCTGTCATTAAATCCGAATCCAGACGTTGGAGGCCATTTTTTATGACTGAGTTACACTTTTCGCAGAACTTTGCTGGCCTAAAACCTGGTATCACCCTGAGCATGGAACCGCCAAATATTTTTTATTAAATAAATTCAAATTCCATCAATTAATCAGCTGAGAAATCTTCTAATGGAACATTTCATATTCATTTACCGCTCATACCTTAGATTTCCCTTTTTCAAACAATTTGCAAATACAGCTAAATTTATTTGAATAAAAATTTTAAGAATTCTGGGCTTTGGAAATTAAAAAATTTAAAAATCCTGGGATGAGCGTTTTCTTAATTGAGCACCCGCTCCTCCGTCAGCATCCTTGGCCCATTTTTTGGGGAAAAATTTTGTATTTTATTTATGACTTTTTTAAAAATGATTTTTTTTCTTATTAGTGTTGTTAAACGGCTAATTTCATTTAAAATTTGGAACATTTCTTATAAATCATTTGAATTATATTTTTAAAAAAATTTAAATTTTTATTATAATTAGAAGAAAGAAATAACATAATAGACTTCCTTCCTTCCTTCCTTCCTTCCTTCCTTCCTTCCTTGTCTTAGGTTAAACGGCTCGTTTTGGGTAGATTTTTTTAAAAACGGAAACTCAATATTTTATCCAGAAAACTATTTAGGCAAGCCTGAAGATTTTTCCCATAGATGACACGAAGGTTTGGACATCTATTAGCGAAATCTCGAAGCGCTTAGGCAATATTTTTCTGGCTAGAATATTGAATTTGGCCGCGTTCAAAATGGGATCCGATTCTACACGATTTAACAGCTGATCGACATTTAAAAATCGGTATATGAGTATCAATTTAGGTTATTATCATGTATAGAATTCAGACTTGTTAAAAGATACTTTTTAAATGGATCTAGATACAGATACATGGTCTAAAATACTTATCTAGATACCGATATTTTTATTCCAAAAATCTATCTAGATACAGATACCACATTTTTATATCTAGATACAGTATCTAGATCCTTTAACAACTCTGATAGAATTAAAGATAAAAATTAATATTATTTTAAAAAAAAAATTGATCCCATAAACAGATTTTAAAAATCGATCAGCTGGTTAAATCGTGTAGGATAGGATCCTACTTTGAATGCGACCTTAGCCATTTTTAAGAATCAGGTGATTACTTTATGAAATCAATGGGCTTTGTATCGATTGTTATTTTCTGTAAATTTTGATACGCTGATGACAATTAGCTTAATTTTAGTAGAATACTTAAAACTAGGCTCTATTCCAAAAAAAAAATTAGACTCGAGTAATTACGAATACGATTAATCATTTATTCGATTCGAATAAAACGAATTATTCGGAATGTTTAATAAATTGTGTTTTAAAAAAAAAAATTCTAACATTTAAATCATTTCTTATTTGATAACCTGCCAATCTGACAGGTGACGTGATTATAAAAAGTCTAGCACAAATTTAAAAAATCTCTGAAGTGGAAAATTGAAGCAATATTTAAAATTTTTTTTTTTTTTGAAATCTCATAATAAATTGTATTAAAAAATTACAACAATAAATTATCGAGCTATGCTTCTGATGAAATAGTTATGCTCTATGTTGAAGTTGACAAAATTTCCTCACAAAAAAGGAACTATTATATGGGATCAATATCAAATCAATAAAGACGGTGAACAGGCTGCCTGCAATCATTGTAAGAGCATGATAAAATAAGGCAAAACAACATCCCCTTCTTATTTAATCATTCTAATAGGTTTATTTCACACCTCAGTAAAAAAGTGTAATAAAATTGACATTTTTTTTAAAGCCTTACATCTCCAATTTCTTTATCAAAAAATAAAAATTTTTTTTAAAAATAACTTGCTAAAGTTATTTATAAAAAATAATATACCTTTTTTTAAAACTGTTAATAACAAAAGATTTCATAAGTGTTCTTGATTGATCTGTAAAATCAATGCCTTCCAAATACTCTTAAACAATTGCACATGTATGATACATTTGCAGTATACCTCGCCTCGAATTCTTTCTAACCATGAATTCAGAGTTACACATATCATTTAGCTGATTTATTTCGTGATCTGGGTTTCTAAGAAAAATTGCGAAATTATAATTTTCCTATTTTTTTTTCTTTGAATCTTATGGTTATACGTCAAAATAAGCAAAATAAGTAGTTTCGTATTTTAGCCTCATCCTGCGGTTTGGATACGTAATGTTAGAATGCTTAAACATGCTATTCTTTTTTAATAGTCTTCTTAATTCATCCACTTGGAGGTAATGTTGTTAAACGGCTCCATATATAAGAACCCAACTCAATATTTTAGCAGGAAAATAGTAGCCTTAAGCTTATAAATTTCCATAATAGATTTCCCAAACCTTTGTGTCATTTATGAGCATTTCAGGTTTGCGTTAATTTTTTTTTTTCCTGAATAAAATATTTTAGTTATCCGTTTTTTTTTAAAAAAATAGTCTTAAATCGACTGGTTTAACAATACTTAATAGAAGGAACATCCATTTTATTTTTTTAGTCGCTGCACTTTTCCAAAATAATAATGAGGATTGCTGCTTTTTTAAACGCTCCTGGAAAACTTGTATGCATATGTTTTTTTAAAAACAGCTGATTAAGTTAAGTGCGATTATAATTCCAACACTCATCGTAATGTCTAATGAATGGGAAAAATATGTGGAGGTAGGGGGATTAACTATGACGGCTTCTCTTAAGCACTGCGCATGCGCAACAACAATTATCTGGTTACATTTATTAGGTAGATAAATATAATATACGATAAAATAAAATATCAAAAATAATTTATAATTACTTGGTTTATTTTTTTAAAGGGAAAGATGATATATTTGGCTTGCATTTTTTAAAAAAAAAACAGATGATTGATTATATAAAGAAATATTTAACTTCGAAATAGTAATTTCTCTTTTTTGCTTTTATAACAAAAGTTATACAAAATGAATAAAGCAATTGAGTCTAAGCGAATCCGCTACCATCTTGCATTATTAATCAATAGGCTCTTACGCGTAAAATTTCGTTGTTTTTGTTATCGTGGTTAGACTTGCTCTCCTCGCCTTCTTTAGCCCCAACATCCGGTTTGACTAATACGTTCTTTAATTCGTAATGGCTAGGGGATTCCCTGGTATTGGGTGCACTATCACTATTCGGCAACACGGTATTCCCATTGAGAGCTTGGGGCAGATACGAGTCATTGTCGTACCCAATGGGATGCCCATTAGTCATAGTGTTAGGTACCATTGTTTTACTATAATGATTGCCATTTATCAAATAATTTTTCCTGAGCCCTGGAAAAGATACACGGGTAAAATCGTATCCCTCAGTTTTATCCTTTATACATTTGGAAAATGGTTTTCTTTCTCTATCAATACTATCCGCTTGGGAAGTATTCTCGACGAATTTATTAAATCTATTGTTTTGACATATGTCTAGCCCATTGTATCCATTTTGAGCCTGAATGTCAACATTGTTGGCATTCATTTCCCTATATTCAACTTTTTTTGACGCGTAAAACCTGGGTGAGCATTCCAGTCCATTTGCCGTATTGTAGTTATTATCATTAAACACTTTACATTGGGTCGATATTACCTCACTAGGCATGCCGTTTTGTTTGGTAAAGGTTTCGCCGTTAAAGACGCATTCCGATTTGAATAAGCTGTCGAAATGATTCTGTAAACTGCTGTTCTGGCCTTTGGAAAATTCGTATCCTTTTGAATAATCGATATTAGAAAATTTATCCCCACAAGTTAAAACATTCGCGGTGGCATCTGGGTGATTGGCGTTGATTATGTTTTCTTTCTCCAACAAAATCCTCAAAAATTCTCCAGATCTATTTTTGGTGGTCCTAGAGTAATTACTCGAAAAATTATTATTTTCGTTAAAAGGAATGCCATTGCTGAAGGATGGATAACACCTTTGATGATAATCGTAACTAGTTTTAGGTGTTTCATGTCCACTTGATTCTAAATGAGAACTTCTGACAAACGTATTTACACCATAGCCTTTTGCAAGAGCGTTGTCCATTTCGTCGGCGGTTCTCGTATGCAGTTCAGTCAAATTCGAAACTTTATCACGAACCTTCCTCTGCTTATATCCGTTAGCCTGGAATTGTAAGCCGTTGGCGACTCCGGCATAGGATGTGGAGTCGTTCAAAATTTTTTTGAGATGGAAGGAATCAGTGTTAAGATGAGTATAATTATTCTGAGAGTTTTTGGCTGTACTCTGAGAATCATAACCATTAGATCCGCATTCTTTGTTTATCAAGGTGCCATATATTTTCCCATTCTCCTTAGACTTTTCTTTGTGGTGTTTGTTTGCATGGGTAGCCTCGTCATGATTGAGTAGTTTTGCTCTAATAATGTCCTCCAAATTAGTGGACATCATTGTGTTGGAGGTCAAGGGTGAAAATGGGTGAAAGTCAATATTTTTGCAATTGCTATCAATAGTCTTGTCATGATCCAGACCATATTTTCCGGCACACTCAAATGAATTGGGACTCCTATTTATTTTAGATGTGAATATACTTTAAACATTTTAACATGTGTGATATAAATGTAATATAACGATATAATTACCCTGGAATGGGATAGTAATATTATCGAAATATTGTATTATTATACCTAACGCCTTTTAATACTTTCAAATTACATTAAATTTCGCATAAACAATTTATTTCTCAAAAAATCAAAATTTTAATATATATATAGATATGAGGATACGTGTCATTTGGTGGTGTTTGAAGCCGATTATTCGTGTAATTCAACTGAGACGAGAGAGCTGACAAAGTTAGAATATCCAACTTAGGATCAAAGCCATTCCAGGTAGTTAGAGGTCCTGGGTCATTCTCGTCAGATTCGTTTTTATTGGTAGGGTTACTAAACAACACAAAAATTATAAGTAAAACTGGAATATTTTTATTTTTTTTTTAAAAATAACCTATTCGATTGCATGTTATACGAATCTGGCAGAGTCATTTCCGTCGCCGCAATCCGCCGAAGTATTTTCAGATAAATTTTCTTCGGAGTTAAAAAAATCAGGAGGAAGAATATCATTTCTCAACTTATCTTTGTCACTGTCAGCCTTCTCCTTACTACGATATTTATCGAGTCCATTCGTATTATTCACCACATTATTCAAATGGGATTTCGCGAGAATGTTAGTATTATCAATATCGCCTCCACTGATACGTAGATTGGTATCATTGGACAAAAAACTGTAGTTGTCTTGATCGCAATCGCAGAGAACTTCCGAACCTCTTTTATGATTCTTTAAACCGTTCGAGATATTGTATCTTTTACCGCAACCGGAACATGTGTGGGGTCTCTCGTTATTGTGTAAACGTCTGTGAAGCTTTAGATGAACGAATTGGGTAAATTTAGCCGGGCAGGTATTGCATTGATATGGCTTTTGGCCGCTATGAAGCCTTAAATGTGTTTTGAGATTACTTGTGCTCGAAAATCTTTTCTGACACAAATGGCATTCGTGAGGCCTCTCACCGGTATGAACGAGATTATGCTTTTGTAAATGGGCCAATTGGGTAAACCCCTTTCCGCATTCGCTGCACTTGAAAGGCCTTTCCCCCGAATGAGTTCTCAGGTGAACTTTTAGGTTAGACAACTGTCCGAATATTTTTGAGCAAACCTTACATTCGTACAACGATTTTTTGTCCGTACCATTATCCTTTCGTTTCAACGAATAAGAATTTGCTATGGAATTCGGTTGCAATCGATTGTCGGTATTTACGTTTTCTGTTGTGATCATTGAGTTGCTTACGATATTGTAGGAGGAAACAGCTAGATTGAATTCACTGTCTTTGTCCATGACATCTAATGTATTATCAGATGGTATAAGCTCGTTTTTATAAAATGAACTACCAGATTGTTCATCCTTGACATGAAATCCGTTTGTAGTGTCTTTAGAAATTCCGTTCAACGTCTTTCCAACATATTCAAAATGCTTCACCTGATTCCTGTAAAGGTTTATTGGGCGTTCCGAAGATAGGCTCACTAAATCCATTCGGGTTATGATAGCCGGAAACTCCTTCTTAGCATTATTGTGCATTACGCTAGGATCTTCTACTACATTATGCACGCTAAGTGTTGCAATGCCATTCAAAACGTTGATCCCGTTCGTTATGATATTTTCGTGCTTAAACCGAGACAGTTCTAGAGACCTCTTCCTGGATAAATGATACTCACCCTTTATCAGCAAGTCTATGGCAACGGGACCCATGGTGGCTAATGGGTCCTCGTTTGTCAATTTCGGTTTCTCATGTCCGAGCATTTTGGATAATTTTTTGCTAATCACCTGACTCTCATTCGGAAATGGAGTGTTGTTAAACGATCGGATAACATTTTCTGGTGTTCCGAGGGATTCGTTGATAATATAACCGTCATCATTGGGCATAGGTAGTATGACGTTCGATGTGCTAAATATTTTATTAATATAAGAACAGATGCTATTTTTGGTTTTGATATCGGGCCCAAAATTTTTAATTACGGCTTGGGTTGGGGGAAAGGGTTTGATAGAAGAAATCTTTGTTTTCAATTTTTCTTTGAAGGATAGGTGCTCCGTAAAGTCGAAGGGATTATGAGCAGGGATTTTGCTCTCGTCATTCTGGAAGGTCAGGATATTTGATTTGCTAGGCTTGGAAAAAATGATTTCCGGAGGTTTATTAAACGTATCTGCTTTGTTTCTATCCAAAGGCATGCAATGACCATTGAAATATATATTCGATGGTACGCTGATATTAGAATTTATGGTATCGGGAGAATATATATGGTTGTTATTCATTATCAAAGTGGGTTCGGAACGGATACCCTTCCTATTCATATAACATATTTCCTCCGCTACGTATTCTTGAGCCGTTAATCCATTTGAGCTGTTGCCCCTATACAGCAACGATATCGCATTTATGTCCGAATACATAGGTCGCATAGGTATATGAGCGTGGGTGCGAGCGTAGCGCCATAAATTATTCATCAGCAAGACCTTGGACGTCGGTCCAATATTGGTGGTGATGGGGGTTTTGGAATCGATATGGGTCGTCAAACCGATATTTAGGGGCATTTGAGCACACATCTGATGATGGTTATATAATTGAGTCACCTTAACTTTGTCTACGTGGATTTTGTTGAAAGGAATTATATTAGGCGAATTGTCTCGATGACCATTGCTACAAGTGGAGAGGTCATTGATAGGTTTGTTCTTTTTGATGCTATAATCTATTACGTAATCCTGATTAAATTCTTCTTCCTGGATTTCTATGTAACATTTAACCTCGTAGGGATGTTTATTTGAGACGGGTGACGTAGACGATTTAGGACTCACTCTTTGAATTTTGCCATTTTTACTCGACATCGATTTATCCGCGCCATTAGTTATCATATTCTCGGTTGAAACGTTGCCTGAAGAGCCATTTTTAGCTAAGGAATTTATGATAGAAAAGAATTTCTTCTTGAATGGAAAACAATAAGCACTACTCTTGACAGTGTTGCTAGGAGCGGGTATCAAGGAATTACCAGTCTTATCCGTTTCGATTGGAGAATTGGAATCTTTCCTTTTCATTTTTGATGTGATTGGTTGATTATCGATATCGACAGTATTTGAACCTTGATTATTTTGACAAGAAATTTTGGAAGTCAATTTACTCGTAACTGTCATATCACGATCATACGTCAACGATTTTGAAGCAGTTTTATCGTGACTTATGGGGATCGGGTTATTGATGAACCCGTTGATGTCACAATTCATGTACGGAGGAGGATACAGGGAATAGTTGTACATATTGTTCGAAATATAAAACGGGAAACAGGAAGGATGCAATGTTTGGGTAGTAAAAGGGAATACGGAAGATTTATCGTAAGCGGAACACAGACCATTTATGGCAAATAAATTTGTATCGTTCTTGATGAACGGTTGATTGCAAGAGTAATAAGGGTTGGTGGGTGTTTGGAAGTATGAGGCAGCAGAATTGATATTGTAAGATTTCTTCTCGTTACAATTGCTTTCGTAATTGTTAAGATTGTACACAGTATCCTTATCTTCTTGGGTGATTAGGAAATTGGGGTGAGTGATAGGTGAAACTCCGTTTAAGTTGAATAAGGATTGAATCTCATCTTCGGCCAAACCTTCATATAAATTTAACATTTGTTTATATACTTTTTAAATCATTTTTTTTATATATAATGTAACTCTCTATACTGTTACATCTCAATTCAGGCTATCCCTAACTTATAAGCCTCAAAATCTACTTTTATTATACCATTATGATGCCCATTAATGGTAGACTTATCCACGTGATATGATCCTCTATAGGCTTCCGGCGTATATCCGAAGGAGTAAATGGTAGGTCCTTGCGATCGTTCTCTGGCTAATTGTTGCTCGCATATGACGTTATTGATCATCATCATTCGCTGATAATGTTGCTGATACAGAGAACCCCCACCGTTTGACATGCATTGCCTGGATACCTCGTCGCTAGGAATATATTTAGGGAATGCTTGCAAAAAGTTGAGTTTTTTCTCTTCCATTTGGATGTTATCGGTGACGGAAGAATAGATATTACCACCGAAATCATCTATTTCCGCTCTCATTTCGGCCCCATTACCTACGACGACATGGATTCCATCCATTTCGGCTTCGGTGTATTGGTGGTTGGGTAAATAGCTGAGCATCGAAGCGTTGAGTCTTTTCTCGAAGTCTTTGCAATACCAAACTAGTAATTCCGTGCCGGGGAAGATTGGTTTAACCGTGTAGAAATAGATCTTAAAATCGATTTGACAAGCTACCAGATTTTGATCCTTGATATTCTTGGCAGGGTTAACGTAACGCATCCAATTGCTCCTGTTCTCGTCGTAAGCGTCTATGTAATGCTTGAGCGCTTTTGTTTTCCGGTAATCATTTTCTTCGTAAATCTTTGTGACGATTTTTTTTTTCGTTATAATTTTTTTCGTGGAATAAAAAAAAGAAGCTATATATCACCAAGGATTTATTTATTAACGATTGTGATCTGAATTCAAAGAAACCTTATTATTTTTTAACTGAAACATATGGTTTTTTGAGTAATTCAGGAGAACATCCGAAATATAAAATAAATGGGATCATATGATAATTTGATAGGCATTTATTAGCTATATCTTTTATATCTATATATGACGAAATGTGTATTATATTTGTCTCTTTGGATACTTTCTTACTGTATCCCGCATGTAAATGGCAAGCTAACTCGATTAATTTATTATTGAGAATTGGTCCAGATAGTCGACTCCCAAACTGAATTAGTGTTGTAAACATTTTTCAAGGGATTACCAAGATTTTTCTTTACTAGAATTCTAGCATATTATTGCAATTATAAGTTAAGATTTTACCACTATATAGGACAGAAAAATATATTATATACTACTCTAAATCATTAGAACCCCGGGCTATAAAAAAGAAGCAAAGATTTAACGTTATCAGAATAATTTATAAAATAAACTAAAATAATCATATGTTGATCACTCCCATCCAACCTAAAGTGGCACGCATAAGAGAGACAATTTCAGGTCAACACTTCGGAGGAGAAATGCATCAAGTATATTCCATCAATTAAGTCATGAAAGACTTCCAAGAACCTAATATTAGAACAGGAATAATGTCGAGAATAAAAAAAAAATTTTTTTCCCAAATTGTTTAAATTTATCAATATTGATCGGAAATCATATTAGATATGATCAGAGTCAGGCAGTATCGCGGATATTTGTATCTAAGATACAAGATACCTTTATACCATGTATCCTTTTAAAACTTCTTGAAGTAATGTCTGTCGTAATATTCAGATGAATACTTTTAGACGAAAAATGACTTATTCAAATTAAATAGAATTATTACAATATTATATGTGATGTCGGGTAATTTCATGTTACAGACTACTATATAAATGAGGATATTTTGAAGTTATCAATTTTTA